TCACAGTACATCTCAGAAACATCAGATAGAGCCTCAAAGACGTGCCGGTACAGCTGTTCTGTTGTAGACCCTGAAATAACCCTAATATTTAAAGTTAAAGACTGTTTATGACCTGATGTTTTAAGAGTCACATGAACTTCATTAATATGGGATCCTTGTTTGGTTGTTGAATCCCATCCCAGTGTAGCAGCATCGCACTCATGCAGCATCTGGCCAACCTGAATGTTGGCAAGTACCCCAAGTTCATACACCATCTGTGCTACTGTGGATACAGAGGGAACATTTAAAAGAATTTTGTTAAAGACAATTCCTGAAATAGACGATAACACACGTGAAATATTTGCAACACTGACATTATGCATCAAGCACTCATAGACTGACTGGCGAAATCTGTGAAAATATTTTCCTGCTTCTTTTGTTTCAATATTGCGATGATCATCTAAAGAATCTTCCAGCTTGGCTACTTCATTTTCCAAATATGAAATATGTTCTCTTTCTTTGCGCAGCTTGGTTTTCATTTCCTGAATGTTCAAGGGAAACTTCTTAGACTCCTGTGTGATTTCATCAATTTCCTTTTTTAAACGATCCCTCTCCTTCTCTGTTGTTTTTATTGAACGTTTTGAAATTATAGCCTGCCGTTTCAAACAATTGATTTCCTCTATATATGCTTCAAGAGGAGCAACCCTTTTGAGTAACTTTCGATGTGCTCTGCGTTCCAGTCTATTTACTTTTCTCATTTCTGTATATGCTCTCATTATCATGACATATTTAGATCTCCAAAGGGTGGCTGACTGTGATTGCCTCCTGATCTTCTCATTCAGAGTTTTCAAAGACATCTGTTTTCTTTCCTTTCTGTAATGCAGTCTAAGTGTTTTAATCTGCATTCGCAAGCTTTTGTTCTCTTTAAGCATGTTCAGATTTGTCCTCTGCTTGTTGACACAGTTGTCACAGTCCCTTTTTAGACGCTTTGGCGATGGTGACCTAGAGCGCACTAAAAAGGATAAATCGCTATGAACAGAGTCAGAGGTTAACCCCACAACAGCAACCACTGATGGTTCTGAAGTGTGTTGTAAAGGCATTGGTACAGATGTGTGTTCTGGTTGTGTAAACAGTGTGTTTGTATAGTCTGGTTGCATGAGTGCTGTGGAAGTTATAGCCGATGAATCAACTGCTTGTGCTGTATCATCATGAAACGATATGCCCAATGGCTCTTGGCTTAACCTTACAAAACCATCCCACTGACACTGAAACTGGTAGTTGATTTTTTTTTTGGCCATGATCTTTAAATGATTAATAGAACTTAATGTTCGTTTCTCGTGTAGATGTTTGTCTGGCTCTGCCATCTGCACAATTTCCTTTATTCTTCTGCCTACATCTGAAACAGAAAGTTTGTCGTTTACAAGTAACCTTGTTACGTAGCCCTTCTTGATTGGATACTCAGGCTCAAAGCTTGCCAGGTGCGCTCTCATATCACTAGCGGTTCTATTTGCCATTGTTGTGAGACAGTGAATCTGTGCAAGAAAAAACAATTTGTTGATACTGAATACTGATATGCTGAAATTAAAAATGTCAAATATTAATATCTCAAAGTAGAGAATTGAGACATATTGAGAAAGGCATTTGAATTTAATTGATAATGATAATATACTTGAGACTGAGATTTTCTAATTACATATATGATGAAACAGAACAGCTGGTGATTAAAAATAATTTTTTTTTTGGTATAAATTTACAAATAAAATAATTTCAAGAAATTAATAAATTAAATTAAAATTAAAGTACTCAAGACTCATTTGAAAAAAATAATATACTCATACTGACAAAATAAAACCATACTCTACCCTTTTAAATATGTGAAACTGATAACTGAAGACAGAAGGGTTCCCTGGGTACTTAAACTTAACAGTTAAACTGTAAATGAAACAACGCGAAGGAAGTGTTGCTAGGCAACGTACTTTTAGCAAACCGACCACCCCTTCGTTCCTTTGAGACAGGTCTAATTAAAATCTCTATATCTAATCATACCGATCATTGAAAGAGTTAACATTTGTCTGAGATCTGTAAAAATGGATTGAGAATTTAAACATAACTAAAATAATTCTGAGCTCCGCATATAACCATTTTATAACTAGATGACATTTTTTAACAAAATACTAGTCTTGATGGCTACCGCTACTTGGTTTGGTGTCCCTATGAAAAACATGCCGCACATCAATAAATAAACGCAAATTGCCATTAAAATTGCTGAAATTAAATGCAGGCTTCAAATAGTATTGCCAGAATGTGACATTAAATAATAAAAATTAAATAATAATGCACGTTAACGAGGTTAAGTCCGGTTGACTATGCAGGTTTTTTTCGCGACTTTCAAAATGGAGACCTGGCGTGCGACTAGAACTGATGCACTTCTAAAAAATGTACTGTGAATTATCCCGATTAGTAATATTGCTGAAAATTCACACACTGATAGATAAATGGATGCTGAATCTTATTATTCCTAGTAAATTAATGAGCATGGCCTCAAAGTCTTTAATGGATATAGTGAACTTACCTATATATTCACAACGGAACAACGAAAACATACAGTCAACCACAGATTCAACTTACCACATGTGCTCGCAACTGAACGTCAAGTCTTACGTTCGAGCTATTTATAGATAGGGAAACCCCGTGATTTGGCGTGCTTTTCAAACGAATTTAGGGCACCCCGAATCGCGCCGAAGTTTTCCGTAAGCACATTTTTTCTAAATCAGTGACGTCATCATTATTCAAAGGTCACGTGCCGGGGGCGTGTCCGTAGTCGCTAGTGTACTACATACTTTAAAGCAACACCCCTGTGGCAAAGCTGCCAAATGGGCTGGTGAAGACTGAATGTCAGAAAGAAGAAGAAAAATTGGCTCTACTTTAAACAGCTCCTTAAAATGGCGGCCGTAATATGATGCCGTTCGAAAGAGAGCTAAATTGGCCACATTCTGGCCATAAAATATCCAAAAATATCTAAATGCGGCTCAATTCTATTAAAAATATATGTGCCGGCTCGGTATAACGAAACAAATGCTCCAACAGGGTATCATCGATATGTTACTTGCGAACCTGCTTCTGCGAGTGTGCCTCACCGCCGACCGTATCCCCTGCGCCGCTACGCGCGGCGCGGATGGGGACTAAACTAGATGGCTAGGACTCACGAGCAGCAGCTACCGCATCTCCTGCAATTTCCTCCAGTTACTTTACTCGTGAGTCCCAGGCACGTGGTTTAGCCCCCCCATCCGCGCCGCGTGTAGCGGCGCAGGGGATACGCTCGGCAATGAGTTTAATCGCGTTTGGCGCATGCCGACAAGTCTGACAGCTACCGCTGCTAAATCCTCCCATCGGAAGAACACAGTATTGCTAATCGGCTTTCATCGCCTGTAATGTCTCGAAATGGGCAACGGTCGCTAATATCGTCTGCTAGTAACGTCATCTGCAGAAACGCTCGGAATTGTCCAACGTTGTATTTATCGTCTGCTACTACTGTGTGCAATGTTGATATTGATTGTCAAGTAATCCTAGTTTTGCCGCGATTTGTCCCTTGGCAGAAAGTCTGTATTTTAGATACGCCTGAATACCGTTCGGATATTTTTTTGATATTTTATGGCCAGAATGTGGCATCATATTATGGCCGCCATTTTAAGGCGCAGTTCAAAGTAGAGCCGAAAAATTTAAAGTTAAAGCAACTGTCTTAAAATTAAATGAAATGATACAAGTTATTAAACTCCTACCTTTTGTCTAGTTAAAGTTGGGTTTAAGGTAGTAACACAGGTAGTAACTCATAAGTGCTCCGTTCTTCTTCTAACTCAAGTCTGAGACCAAAGAAGCTAGGCACAGTGCACAGGCTCTGTAGGCGTAACACCGGCGAGGGTCCTGAAATACTTTAAGTAGATTTTAAACTCAAAATTTTTCCCAGGTAGCGACGTTAGTTATACTTTTCTTTTTGATTTCCAACTGCCAAGAGATTTTTTTTAAATTTGCGCAACAACACTCACAGGCGTTCAATCTCACTACCAAGAGACCAGGGGGAGTTACTAGAGGTCCAAGTCCACAGGAAAAATCCCAGCCCTTACCGGGTATTAAACATGGAACCTCTAGCACACGAGGCGGACACAATTTCTCACTGAATCAGATGCATTTGACTTTAAAGACTGAGAATTCATTGAAACAGAACAACTTTTCAGTGTTGGGGGGGGGGGGGGGTATATATTCACTGCCCCCATCAAGCATATAATAAAAGACATCTAATTAGGGTTTTGCTAAAATTGGCATCCAATTATCCATTATCGCCGAGACAGCCACCTGATGTAAGACAGTTATGTAATTTGTATTAATGTTTCAGATGTTGTCTTATTTATGCCGTTTTTGAGTAGTTATTAAAATATAAATTGTGCTATGAATGTTTATGTTTATTCGATGGATCAACATCATGGCACATATGTGTAACGCATAAGTCCTCTGTTCTACTTCTAACTCAAGCCTGAGTCTAAAGAATCTCAGTCGCAGTGCACAAACTCCTTTGCACTGGCGAGGGTCCTGAAATACTTTAGGTAGATTTTTAGCTCAAAATTTTACCTAGGCAGCGCCGTTAGGCTACTTTTTTCTTTTTCCAACTGCCAAGGGATTTTTTTACGTGCGCAAGAATGCACACAGCTGTCCGATCTTACTACCCAGAGACCAGGAGTATTAGTTGTTGATTATCGTTGTTAAATTTTTTTTTTTATCTAAAGATTTGTTAGGATGCTGGGAATACTTGATAAAAAAAAGAAATAAAAACGTATGGAAATTCTATTGTAAATGTATGTATTTGTTTTATATTTCATCATTTATATATATTTATATATATTAAAAATGCATGGAAACATTACTGATTTACTTATGCATACTCTTTTTACTATTTTTCAGTGACCTATGTAAGTATCATGTGCTAAAATACTTTGTGGCTGTTGTTAAGTAATTGATTAAAATTTCAGGGTTCAGGGAGATGCCAAAACAAGAGATGACAAAGAAAAGTCAGACAGAAAAAAAGAAGGCAAAGAAAAGGAATCCAAGGAAAGAGGGCGTGATAGAAAAAGGCGAGGTTCTTCAAGCAGTGAATCTGACAGCAGTTCGTAAGTCCTAACTGGCGTAGAAGTATAGATCTTTCTTGATGTTCAGATCTTTTGTGTGAATGTGAAGTAATTAAAAAAAAAAGGGTAAAGAACCCTTTACATGCCACTGGGTATGTGGTGCAAGACTTGTGAGAAAAGTAAGTAAAGATCCTTTTACATGCTACTGGTACATCAGACTCATATTTTTATAAACTAATCAGCCCCTGATCAGTAATATGGCTAATATTTCCCTGGCGGGCCTTCACTTCTTAGACTTCACCATTTAAGGCTGGGTCAGCCTTGGAGCCAAGTTGCGGATTTGAACCCACCATCTTAAGATCCGCAGGCGAGTGCCTAGCTGCTACACCACAGAGACTCCCTTTTAGACTGATATTTTTTATATACTAATTGTGTGATGTCAGTATCATACCAATCCCCTTTGTCTTGGCGTTACTGCAGCACCGTGTTTAATAGCATTTCTGTTATATTCTTCCAAAACACATAACTTTTTTTGTACTAATTGGTACTTATTGTGTGATGTCAGTATCATACTAATCACCCTTGTCTTGTCACCAATGCAGCACCCTCTGAAAATATCATTTCTGTTATATTTTCACAGAACAAATAACTGTTGTTGTACTAATTGGTGCTTATTGTGTAATGTCAAAGTCATCTGTCACCTTTGTTTTGGTTTGGCACCATTACAGCATCCTGTGGAAATAGTATTTCTATTATTATATTCTTCTGATACAGATAACTGTTGTTATCTAATTTGCCAATTCACAACCGTGAACTCCCCTTGTGGGTTCCGGGCCCCATTGTAAGGAAAACAAGAATAGACCCACTGCCAGCCCAAAAGCTTTTGTAAGAGTCAACTAATTGGGTGCTTACTTCAAAGTCAGAGTACCATCTGCCTGAGAGGCAAGGAACCAACAGTCTGCATGCAAATGAGTCATATCTGTGAAACAGATGTGCATGCAGCACTCAGTTTCTGGAACAGGACTAGAATCTAGAAGTGGATGAACCACCAGAACTTTCGCCACAGTTTAAAGCCGATGAGCACAGAAAAGAAGAAAACCGTGAACAAGAAAGGTTATTGCATAGCAGGCTCTTCCGTTCGAGTTTTCAAATGCATATTTGCTAAAATCCTAGTTACATAATTCGGTTTGCTCGCTCCTTTCTTTTATGTCCCTTTTTTACAAGACGCACTGCCTATCCGAAAGCATGTCGTAAAAGTCGACTCAGTGGGAGCATCTGTCTGAGAGGAAAAAAGCCAGCAGGCTACAAACAGATGAGTCGGATCTGTAAAATGTGTGTGCATGTGACACTTAGGTTCTGGAACAAGATTAGTCCAGAAGTGGACGAACGACTTTCCACACAAGTTTACGGCTTGTGAACACGATGAAGAAGAAGAAAAACTATTTTAAAATGTAGTTGTGACAGTATTTTTTTGTGGTTTTGTTTTAACTGTGCTGGTTGTGATACTCATGTTGTCACTTGTAATTGTTTTCCTATAAAGCTTACTAGGTCGGCTATTTTAAAAATTGTTCTTTAATTTATTTTTAAATTTTAATGATTAACAACAAACGCTTATGGGATGATCGCAGAGAGTGTAGTCAGAAAGAGACAGAACATGCTGACAATCGATTGCTGCCAACCTTAACCATGGAGACGACACCTGGTTAATCAATTTAGATGATTACAAGGATTTACCATGACAATGTTGAACTTAACTTGTTGTTTTATGGTCTGAAAGTTTAAAATCATGTCTTCAGTTGTAGTAATTTCATGTTGATTTGTATCCAGGGTTTTTTCTAGGTAAAAAGGTACCAGTACTCACAACGAAGTGTTTATTATGATACTGCTGGAAAAACCATAATGCCTAAAGAAAAGTGCAGGTACTGTCGACCATTGTATACCGCCAGGTAAAAAAAACCTTTGGTGGTAATTTGGCTTTATATGTTTGTCATTTCAGGTCATCCTCTGTGTCACGCAGTGGCTCCAGGTCCTCATCCTCTGGCAGCTCCAGTTCTGGTAGCTCCGGTTCTGGTAGTTCTTCACGGTCAGGTAGTTCTAGTTCCAGCCGGTCATCCAGCAGTGACAGCAGTCGCAGCAGAGGCAGAGACCGTAAACAGAGAACAGAGTGAGCTTCTTTTTTTTGGGTGTCTGGTATATATCCCATTCTTCTTATTCTTCTTCATGTTCACTGGCTGTAAACTCTGATGGAAAGTTCTGGATGTTTGACTACTTCTGGATTTGAGTCTTGTTCTAGAACTTGAATTTTGTGTGCGCATCCATTTTAAAGATCTGGCTTTTTTTTTAGGCAGACTGTCAGTTCCTTGTCTTTCAGGACTTTAAAGGAAACCCCTAATTAGGAGACTCATCTTCTTCCTAAAGTCCAAGCTGTGTGGCATTGGTAATCATGTCTATCCACAACTTCTGTCTCCTGTACTTTACATCAACTCTGACACAGGTGATCCTCCGTGCCATGATGTCAGACTGTCCAGCATCTTGTCTCGTGGTCTTCCTCTGCCTCTTCCCTCCAACTTTCCTACTGTCACGATATACTCCAGTTTTCTCCTTCTCGTCACATGGCCAAAGAATGCTGACTGTCTTATTATATGCTTATTGGGGAGGCAGTGAGTCTGTTATTTCCCCCCCCCCCCCCCCCCCCCCCCCCCCCCCCACGTAGGTAATGTACCATAGTGTTACTAGTGTTACTCGTAGGTATAGGAAAGGATAGTCTTTTAGCAGAAGCCAACTTACACGCAGAAGCCACTGTGGCCGGAATAATTGCCTCTATATATCTCTTTGGTTTAGCTAAGGAAATGTCTCATCCTACACATAATGTTCTTTTTGTGTGTGTTTCTAACCCATTATATGTCATAACTGCCTGTATTTATACCACATCTAATGTGGATTTGGGGTTGCATGGCTAGGGCATTCACCACAAACTGTGCAGGTAAGGATTTTTGTGTGTGCCTCTGACCCAAAAAAAAATCATTATCCCTTATCGGAGATTGAACTCAGGTCTCACAAATATGAGCTTAGTGCTCTAAAAGAAGAATTGAGAGAAGTGAACCAGCACACGGTTATAAACCATAAGTGCTCTGCCACCAGTACGGACAGCTGATAAGAAACTGTCCTCATGATTTGCCGTCCGCATGAAACTCTGTATCTACAGTGATGTTCCTCCATTTACCCCAGAGTGTTAACTTTGGTTCCCATTTCCCCGAGAAGGAAAGGGAGCACATGAGGGAATGTCCCAAGTACACTGATGTCAGACTGCAAAGAAGGTTGAATCGTCATGATTCCAGATCAGGGCATCTGGATAAGAAAGTGTAATAAAAACATCTTGCAAACATTGCGTTTAATTTCATTCTCCACAGAACCCCAAAACGGAAGAAAAGAAGTCCCACACCAAAGCCAACCAAAGTTCATGTTGGGCACCTGACCAGAAATGTGACAAAAGAACACATACAGGAAATCTTTTCACTGTATGGGACCATCAAAAACATAGACATGCCCATGGACAGAATCCACGCGAATTTCAACCGAGGATCTGTGTACATTGACTATGAAACACCAGAGGAGGCACTGAAAGCTATTAAATTTATGGATGGGGGTAAGACCATCTAGTATGTTATCTGTTTTTGTTTTTCATTAATCTTTCGCCATACGAATACTAAAAACATGGGTCACGGGCATGTGGAATTGCCTCCAAAAAATCCTTTGAAACAAGTTTTATACATCACTAATAATTGTTTTTAAAATTCTCTCCTTTTTTACTATTGAAATAGTATTTTATTTTTTACAGACACAGTTGGCACAAGATGGGTGATGTGGTCAGCATCACGCTGCTATTGAAATAGAGGGGGTAATTAATAAACGCAACCATAGTGAAGCAAATAAATGGAGCCTGAAACATGTGTGTCAACATTGTCATATTACTTGGTATGGTCTTGGCATGATTTAGAAATTTGAGGTGGATTCTAAAATTTAGCAGCACCATATTGTGGTCACTTCCTATATCAGCTCCTGAATAGCTCATTGTCTTCGCTTTTTTTATCCCAGATTTAAAACGTTTTTGGACTAGAATGTAGTCTATCTGGTTGGGATGTTCGTCATTTGGTGAGTGCCATGTCCAAATTCTTGATGCCTTGTGCTTGTGTAATGTGTTAGCTAAGAGGAGGTTGTTGTATTTGCCAAATTCCAGCAGTCTAAATTCTTTCTCGTTGATGATTTTGTTGCAGAAGGTCACATGTGTCTTTTCAGTCTACTTGCGCATCTGTTCCTACCTTAGCATTCCAATCTTTCTTTGGTGTTTTGGAGTCGGTTGTAGAAAATCTCAATAGAGTTGTCATCATAGTCTTTAATTGGAGTGTAGACTTGAATGACTGTAATATTGAAAGGGGTTGCGTTTAAATGTATTGATATGAGCATGCTCAAGACAGCGTTTACATCCAATAATTGTGTTTCTAATATTCTTATGCGCAAGAAAGCCAACACCATTTACTCCTCTATCCTCTCCACTGAAGTAGAATGCATGTCCTTAATCAGTTGATTTACTGAAGACAAAAAGTTGCCATACAGTTCGCTAAAGAACAATATTAAATTATTTTACCTCTTGAGACAACAATGCCCTAGTATTGTCTGCCGTGCAGAGCAACATTGAGGAAATATAATGGGCACAGTTAGAAGAAAGACTACTATGTAAAAGTTGGAGCGAGACTAAGAGCAGTTTTAGACATGCCCGTGTGGTTCCAGGGCTCCATTTTGCGAAGAAAGAAAAGATTCATTGCTGAAAGATGCCTACATCAAAAAATTTCACAGTGCTGCTGCATGGTATACGCTCGACTGTCGATTAGAAGATCGTGGGTTCAAGTCCTGACAGAGCCTGACTGTTTCAGAAATTACCTTGACTCACAGGTTAACCTAGCCTTGAATAGGTACCAGGTGGAGTCCTGGGAAGTAAAGGTGGCTGGAGTAATGTTGACCACATCACTTACCAAGTGCTGATTTATCATCAATCAGCATATCCTTTGCAGAACGTCGCTGTCCTCACAGCACGCCTGAAAGTATCCCTTTCCCTGGCCAGCTCTCCAGCACCATGCACTTTCAATGCCAGTGCATCTTCAGTGTCTTGTATCCATCTTCGCTGAGTTTGACCCCTGCCTCACTTTCCAACTTTTGGGACAGGATGCTGTTTATGAGCCAGTTCTCCTTGATGTTTAACTCGTGTAGAATGTCATTGTTTTTCCTTTTCTTGATCCGTGTTCTGAGAATTTTTCTGTAACATTTTAATTCAGAGGCTTCAATTTCTTTCTTCTGTGAGAGTCCAGGACTTTAACCATAAGTTATCACAGGAAAAATGTATGATCTCAAGATTTTTACTTTGACTAATTTACAAGGGCTTTGCCATAGGTTCTTCATGCTGTTTAATCTCTGCATTGCTGATACAAGTCTTCTTTTGAGCAATCTCCACTGTATATCACTAAAGAGCCAAAGTATTCAAAATCTGTGACATTTTCTATTTCTTTATTTTTGATTGTGTGATTTTTTTGGTGTAAATTTAGAAAAATGTTAATTTCTTCTCTGCTTTTTGGCAGTCAAAATTAAATTTTCTAAACCTTGTACACTGTTGGAAAGAAAAACAGTGTCGCTGCATATCTAAGTTCTGGGAAAGGATTACCTCCAATTCTTAGTTAATCAAAGCTCTCATATGCCTCATCGCTTATTGTGTTTCTTCTGTGGTTCATCAACATTTTTTCCTGAACTGATATCAGGGTGTCAAATGTATTTTTCATTTCTGTACCAAACCAAGTGCTAATTGGTCTATAAAAATATAGGTCTAGTCCTAGCATGAAGGTGCGGTGGAAAAGTGTCCATGCCTTTTTTCTTCAAATTTTGTGGTACTTGTGTGCGTTCTACTATATGTGCTATCTGGATAAGTAGAATTCCTCATAAATGTAATAATTTCCTTAGGTCCCTGTGACTTCTACATATCTAGACTTTACTGTATTAGTACAGTAAAACCTCTTTAACACAAACTAGTTGACATGAGCAAAATTTTGGGCATGAGTAATAGGACGTTTTCCATGCCTTCAGGTGCATTGGGCACACAGGGCAATCCTAGTATGGATGTATCATTATTTGTTAACTGTTAGTACACTTGGCTCTCAAGTGGGATACCTGGGTTCAAATCCTCAGTAAGGCTGGGGATTTTTTTTATGTCAGGGGCAAAATAAAATCCTCACCTGCACAGTTGAGCTGACAGCACTAGCCATGCGGCCGTAAATCCTCAGGCTCAAAGACTCCCCTGCCTATGCCGAAAAAGTGATATATAACAAACGCAGTAACTAGCAGTTTAACACAAACTCTTCATTTTTTTTTCAGTCCCTTGAAATTCAAATGAACACAGTTTTGCTTTAGTTTATACGTTTTTTATATGTGTACTTTTGTGTAAAGTTTAAAATTTGTTTCTTTTTTTTTTTCATAAAAAATTTCTGAAACAGTTCAGTTGTAATCTTAGGGAGAAGAGCGTTTATGATTGGCACATATTCTTCACCTTATTGTTCTGCTTTTGTTCATTCAGGTCAGATTGATGGACAGGAGATCACTGCTGCTGCTGTACATGTTCAGCGAAACCCCGTCCGCCCGCCTCCACGTAGAAGCCCTCCAAGGAGAGGGGGCCCACCGCCAAGATGGAGAGCATCTCCCCCAAGATTTAACAGGGACAGGAGGAGGTAATTAGATAGGCGTGAATTTCTTTTAAAATTTTCAGATTCATTTAAATGCAATAGGCAGCTTAGTCCCAGAGTATTTAGTGTTGTTGGTATGAGAAGTGTTAGGCCTTAATATACTCTAGTCCAAAGCTATTCAACTAAGTTAACTCAGTGGCCACAATTTTTAAGATGGGGATCACCATGGTCCAGAGGCCCGAGCCCCAGCATAGCTGGCTATCTTCCGAATAACGGTCCCAAATTATCGAAGCAGAAAATATACTCTAACAGGGCTTCAGTCAAGTGTCAATTGCGCACTTCCGGCGACTTAAATTGTGCACTTCCACCACCGCTGAAAGTATCCCCCACGCGACGTGGACTGGGGCTAAACTAGATGGCTGGGACTCACGAACAGCAGCTACCGCATTTCCTGCAGCTGCCTTGATTTTATTTGCTCGTGAGTCCTAGCCATCTAGTTAAGCCCCAATCCACGCCGCAAGAGCAGCGTGGGAGATACTCTCGGCGGTGGTGGTATAGTCCCTGGAAGTTCGCAATGAAGTGACTGAGGCCCTGTTTGGGTATATTTTCTGCCTCAATAATTTGGGACCGTTATTCCGAATATAGCCGAAAGGTCAATAATACATTACAACTGACAATGATCCACAGGCCGCCAGTTGAATAGCCCTTCTCTGGTCTATGGCTGGTGGCTTCCTTGAAACCTTTCCTTTCCATGCGAGTCTCAGAAAAGAATTATCATATTTTCGGTATATAAAGCAACTGCTATTTTAGGGGTGATTAACAGTGATCGGTATTTAAGGAAAAGTTAGTTGTGTATCCTCTACAGAATGTTGCCGAACCAATTATTGGTTGTTTGTGATTTTACTTTTAGTAGTTTGTGGTTTCTTTCTTATAATTCATTGCTACATGCCATTTTCAAAATCAGCACACAATGGTCTGTTGCCAGATATCCTGCAGCTGGAACCAAACCAGGTATTTCAGACAATACGAAGTGTGTTTGCAGCGTAACACCGTGAAGACTACACCGAAGAAGTAAACAGGATGGTCAGTCTTGTTCTTTAAGGAAAACATGAATACTGTCAACATTTCCTCACTATGTCTTAATTTAAATGACTCATCAGCAGATGAAATTACTATTGCTTGCATTTACAACAAGGCTAACGCTTTGTAAGTATTCTAGACCAGATGTTAAAATTGAATTTTTGTTGCAGGTTAAGTTGATGTGCTTTTGTCCTTTCCCCAGATCACCACCACCAAGAAGAAGCCCACCACGTAGGCGATCACGCCCAGTTGCACGTAGAAGCAGTCGATCACGTTCATTTCGTTCATTGTTTGCTTCGTAGAAGTTAACACATTTTAACGATCAAACTAGCTCTTTTCAGCTCGTCAAAATAATATTTGAGTTATCCATTGTCGTAATACATTCATTCCTCTTCTTACTTTTTGTAGCACCCTGCAGACTTCATTGATAGTTTATGCATGCCTGCCGGTCCAACAAGTGTATGAGTGCAGAAGGAAGTTTTTTAAAACATTGTGACAGGCTGTTAACGACCAAAGAGTAACCCTAGAGTCGACTGAAGGCCTCGTGCTGGAAAATCATCGATTGGCTGTGAGTGGCAATGACAATGTCCATATTGGACTTTCATTTGCTGATACATTTCTATAAGTTTCACCCCTTCACTGATTTAAATAAAAACAGATAACAAAACACTTCTTTTTAGTGTTAGTCAAAAGTAGGGCAGCCATCTTTAAACTGTCATTATAATATCACCATGTTCATCTGCACTGTAATGTTATGTGCTTAACACTCTTGACATTCTTAACAATGTTAAAGCATTACTGGTAAAATGGAATTTTAACTATGCACTTGTTGCTGAAGATGGGGACGGAACACTTATGGGATTGTTCTGAGTGCTGTAATATCGATTCCTAATAATGCATTATCAGACTTTGAGTTTTCATCTGTGAGGGTTGTCCATCTGACAAGAATACCCAGCTGCCACAGGTAGTCACAATGAAGAAGTATAATGTACACAGAGACATGGCAAGACCATACAGACTGTGGAACAATGGCATCAAGAACAACCTTAAAGAAAGGAAGACTACTTAGACAACACTTGTGGACAGAGCACACAAATGGTCCTTCATCACTTTCATTTTTTTCTTTTTTAGCTATACACGTGTCAGTGAGGTAACTGGAGGAAGAGCGGTAGAAGTTGGCTTACACGTGTTGATGAGGTAACTGGAGGAAGAGTGGTAGAAGAAGTTGGCTTACACGTGTCAATGAGGTAACTGGAGGAAGAGTGGTAAAGAAGTTGGCTTACACTTGTTGATGAGGTAAATGGAGGAAGAGTGGTAGAAGAAGTTGGCTTACACGTGTCAATGAGGTAACTGGAGGAAGAGTGGTAAAGAAGTTGGCTTACACGTGTTAATGAGGTAACTGGAGGAAGAGTGGTAGAAGAAGTTGGCTTACACGTGTTAATGAGGTAACTGGAGGAAGAGTGGTAGAAGAAGTTGGCTTACACTTGTTAATGAGGTAACTAGAGGAAGAGTGGTAGAAGAAGTTGGCTTACACTTGTTGATGAGGTAACTGGGGGGAGAGTGGTAGAAGTTGGAGTTGGCTTACACTTTTTGATGAGGTAACTGGAGGAAGAGTGGTAAAGAAGTTGGCTTACACTTGATGAGGTAACTGGAGGAAGAGTGGTAAAGAAGTTGGCTTACACGTGTTGACGAGATAACTAGAGGAAGAGCGGTAGAAGAAGTCGGCTTAGACACATTGATGAGGTAACTGGAGGAACAGTGGTAAAAGAAGTCGGCTTACACACATCAATGAGGTAACTTGAGGAAGAGCGGTTGAAGAAGTTCGCTTATGAGCTGGATTATCTTCACAGCACTCTGGACACATTCATAGGTGCTCAGATTCCCCTTTCAACATATTCATCAGCGTCGCATGGTTAATAGTGCCAGTCCTGTGCTGGTTGACAAGACTTCCTGTGTGCTTGACTGTGCCAATCTTTACTCCCAATTCTCGTATTCTTAGCAGTGATGTGGGACACCTATCTTCAAAAATCCTCAGAACGTCATATCTCTCTAAGGGCATTGACAATGTCTGCATGATCCATAGGCCAGCCCTCTTCAATTAATGTGGCACCTGCCAGTCTTTCAGTTATTGAAGGTAACTGCACACATAGGAGAGTTTTGTAATGACTCAATCCACTGTCATGATCCCGCCGGATCATGCTCAAAAAATCACTCATCACACACACGCACGGAAATAGTCCTGTGATTCTAGCCACATGAAAGCTTGTGTCACCGCCATCACCATGCTGCTGGTAGTCATGGAAAAGGTACCGCTGACTTCTTAAACTGTTCTGTCCGAAGAGCGAGCAGTAAATGCCAGTGCAACTCTTATGTCCTTGTAAAAGTGACCAGAAGAGATAAAATCAGTCAGACTTCACAGCCAGGCCATAATTTCTGATGCTGTTGAAGATTAAGTGTAAACAAGCTGTGTCTGCATGTGTATGTACAAGTCTGTAGGTAAGCTAAAGCCTCATATACGTACTCAAAATATGTAAAGGTGGCTGGGCTAATGCCAACCACATCACCAGTCGAGAGCAACTGGTCAATAATGGGATAGGTCTAGCACTATATGCCTGCTGTGCCAAAGCTGTAAGAAGTCATTCACTTTTCATTATTAAAGACAAAAAAGTAAAGGTCCCTTTTCACGCCTTCAGGCTTATTGGGAGTAAAGCGCTAGACCTATATTTTATAGACCGATCGGCACTTGGTGGGCCATGTGGTCAGCATCACACTGGCCGCCTTTACTTCCCAGGACTGCACCTGGTTCCTACTCAAGACTGGGTCGACCTGTGAGTCAAGGTCATTTTTGGAGGAGAAAAAAAAAAGTCCGGCTTCGTCAGGACCTTCCTATCCGCAGGGTAGGGCGTCCAGCCGCCAACACCACAAGGACATCCTTTACTATCGCATCTACCTACTGCTCTTTGATGACTGGATCGAGCCTCGGATTTCTGCTTATTATTCCCAACGTTGCATCAGCCTAGTCTCCCTTTTTTTTGAAGGTAACTCTCTAGCTCCTTTCTTCGAGTCTTTACGTTTGCCTTTTTTACTATGCTCAGGTGATTTCAGTGCAGACATTCTAGTTCTATTGTTCTCAGCGTGTGACCTATCCAACTCCACCATCTTTTCTTCACACCCTGATTCACTGGAATTTGTCTGGGTTTGTCCCAAAGCTCCACATTTTATTTCTATAATTCTGTGTAATTCCCTCTAATCTGTGCAGGCACCAGTTACTGAAAATGTGTAGTTTATTAGTAATTGTTTAATTGTTCTCCATGTTTCTCCACTCCATAGGGCAGTACTGATTTGGCATTAACTAAAAAAAATAATTAAGTTTTTCACTAATTTGAGTACTGTAAGCATGCCCTACTGGGGCTTTCTTCGAGGCCGGAATGCATCTGTCCGAGAGGCAAGGAACCAACAGTCTGCATATAAAATATGTCAGATTTGTAAAACAGATGATCACGCAACACTCAGGTTCTGGAACAAGACTAAAGTCCAGAGGTGGACAAAACTAGAACTTTCCGCCGCAGTTTACAGCCCGTATACGCGAAGGAAAACAAAAAAGAATTCAATTTGATTTCCATAAAATGTATAGTGCATTCTTCCAGTTTCTGTTTTTTCTCTCTCACGTAGGCTATAGTATAACATACATGATATATCTCTACTTCGGCACCTATGTACACACCAACCGTACAAATAGTCGGATCACACAAACAGTTACAGTTTACTCTGGTAGACCCACAACCGTTCCATGTTCTGTTGCAGCAGCGATATATTTAGATCACTGTCTCCCGCCTCTGAATTTGCTCAATCTTTATTCCAACAAGCCATCAGCTGAGGAGTATTTGAAATATTTTAATTTTACAACAGTTCGCAAAATGGCAGACAGCCTTCGTCGATCTCACCAGTTTCAGTACCAGAATTTATCGGTTTGTATGAATAGATTACTTCAGTTTTTATTTAAGAATATCAAAAACGCATTCATTGGATTGATTATTATATAATAGTTCAAATAGTTGCTATAATATTAGTAAATTAGTTAGTTTAGAGTTGTTTATGTAAGATCCGATTGTTTCTTTACTTTATGAATAATGTGGTTTGTTTGACGCTGGCTGAAGTCGCTGGGTACAGTCACCACCCAGTGATGGTATGGAAATCAATGAACGACTGAATGAAACAACTCTCCTATTACTTGAAGGAAATTGAATATAGCTAAATTTCGAAAGAGGAAACTTCATATTTATAAACTGTTTCATTATGGTTGCACAGATTAGCAGCGTATTTTACATTCATTTTATACAGAGGTGTTTAGTTTAAAAATGTCTTATCTAGAAAGTCGGCTCTCCTACGAACTTCTACCCCGGCAATATGGCGGCCAAAAAAATACACTGACAGGGCCTCAGTACTGAAAAATGTGGATTTGTTGGACTTCCGGCCGAGGAACAAATCGAGCCAAAACTAGGATCCGTTGAATAACGAAACAAATGCTCTAACAGGGTCTCAGCTGCTACGCGCAGCGCAGATGGGGGGCTAAACTAGATGGCTGGGACTCATGAGCAGCAGCTACTGCATCTCCTGCAACTTCCTCCAGTTTATTTGCCTGTGAGTCCCAGCCATCTAGTTTAGTCACCCATCTGCGCCGGGGATACTGTCGGCGGTGAGTTTATTCGAAGAGCCAGTACAACATCATCATGCCTTTGTTGCAGCTGGCAAAGAACGAGCCAGTGCGCATGCTACACTCAGTATTACAGCGACGACAGCGCCATGAGTATCTGTCAGAAGCCACCTGCCGCGCTGCCAATGACATAGCAGCCTGGCAGGACGAGCAAACCTGCGTGTTGCGTATTAGCCATTGCAACCAGACCGGTTTATCAGTTATTACTCTATGCAAATCGACAGATCTCACATCTTCCGCTGCTAAATCCTCAATCGGAAGAACAGTATCGCTAATCAGCGTCGGAGCGCATCGTATCCCGGCCATGTCGCTTTTATCGTCTGTAATGTTGGCGTGTCTTGAAATTGTCAATGGTCGCTATTATCATCTGCTACTATTGTCTGCTACTATCGGCTGCAGTGTTGCGTTTCTTGAAATTGACAGGTAATCCTAGTTTTGCCGCAATTTGTTCGTCGCAAGAAGTCGCGCATTTTTGAGGCCCTGTTCGGGTATTTGTTTCGCCAGGGTAGAAGTTCGGAGGAGAGCCAGAAAGTCTTTAAATTAAAACTTAGGCTCTCCTTCAAACTTCTACCCCATATTATGGCATCCAAACAAATACCCTAACAGGGCCTCAGTCCTATGCAAAATGCTGAGTTCCTGCCGAGGAACAAATCGCGGCAAAACCAGGATTGGCTCCGAATAACAAAACAAATGTTTTAACAGGATTTCAGCGATATGTTAATTGCGGACCTGTTTCTGCGATTATGCTGCACCGCCAACAGTATTCCCCGCACTGCTACGTGCGGCACAGATAGGGGTGCTAAACTAGATGGCTGGGACTCATGAGCAGCAGCTACTGCATCTCCTGCAACTTCCTCCAATTTATTTGCTCGTGAGTCCCAGGCATCTAGTTTAGATCCCCATCCGCGCCTAGCGGCGCAGGGGATACACTCGGCGGTGAGTTTAATCGGAAGAGCAGTATCGGTAATCTGCGTCAGAGTAATATGGGGTAGAAGTTTGAAGGAGAGCTAAAACTTGTACTACTGATAATGATACAACTTAAGTATTTACTAATAAAAAAAAAATAAAGTTTTCGAAAGTCAGTAGAAGAGAACCCATATATTCAGTTTTGGTTATTTGTTGTTATTAATGTTGTTTGTTTTATAGATATTTTCATGTGAATTTATTGATAGAGACAACTCTACAAATTTAACTCTTTCAGGACAACATTTTTCTGGGGTTTGGACAGCATTATTTTTGAGCGAAGAATTAATTTTGAGCGGAATTTTTTTGCTGCAACGTGACAAAGCTAAAACCTTCCTGAAGAAAGGTGGCATTATCAGTCATAATAATATCTAAGTCTAATACAGCTGCACCTGTCTCTTCTCTCACCTGAAAACCTTCATGGTCTTCACAGGCGAAGACTGCTGCATTGAGCCATGTCTCTTTGTTTCGTCTGTATCCTCCAAGTGTGGATGGTAATCTGTCATGCTTTTCCAAGTCATCAACAAGTCTACGTGCTAGTTTTCTCCAGAAGCTTGTTTGTAGTGTTCTGCATGGTATTGATTCTGTAGCCACTGATCTTGGAATGGTCTTTATTTTGTTTTGGTAATGGTAGTAGGTAGCTGTGTAGCCACTCCTCTGATTTGACCACTTCTGATGCTGATGTTGAACTCTCCTGCTAGTTCTGACATATCATCCTCTGACATCTGCAACATATCAGCATACAGGATGCTGTCAGGGAATGGTGAGGTGTTGGGCGATTTCCTGTGTTGCCTGTATGGTCTCAGTTGTAATACTGTAATCATCACTTAGTTCTGCTTTTTTTACACAACTCTGGAAGTGTTGACTTAACTCTCAGTCTGGCTGCCTCATCTTTCTGGTCGGTCTGGTCCAAGCAGCGCTGAAGAAGAGCCTGCCCTTTATCTGCATCAGATTTTTGCTATGTCAGATCTGCGCTTTGAAAGTCAGGGATACCCCGACGTTGTGTGGTGCCGTTCATTGTCCGATGAAGTCGCCAAAATGTGGCAAGAGACCCTTCAGAGCACACCTTCTTACAGTAATCGTCCCATTTCTCATTCTTGACCTGCTTTGCGCACAGCTTGAAAGCCATTGTTGTCTTATTGACTTTTACCTTTCAGGAGCTCCGGCTGCTTCCTGGCCTTCAACCACACCTTGATGACCTGCCTTTTTTCCAACCATGCCCTTTCAACCTTTCCATCCCACCACGGTGGCTGAGTCCATTTCTTTCTCTGTCTGCGGGAGGTGTTTACTTTGCAGCATCTTAACTTTGCTGATGGCTTCCTGTCCTGTATTATCATACTGGAAAGTATTTATTCTGTTTATTTGACTGATTTTTCTGCTTTTCTCAACCAAGACTTGGTAAACTTTTTTTACAGTGTGTCGGGGGAGGTGAATCCAATAGCAAAGTTTCAGATGTAAAACGAACTTTCGAAGGTAATGGCTGGAGAGAAGTGCTCCTTCCACTGGCAAGTCTTTTCAGATGGGACAAGCCTTACTATCCAGCAATTATTGTTGGTATCACCACTTTTCTGTTTTCGTAAGTACATTCCACTCCTTATTTTATAAATAAGCATTGTTTCTTCTCTTATTTATTCCATCAACTTTTAGGACACTGTAAGAAGAAAGAAGAACTTTATGCGTTCAAAGAACATTAAGGTCATTGAAACCTAAGACAGCCTTGTTTAGATACTCTATAGATTAATTCAAAAGATTGAAACAAAATTTGGTTGCTATTTCTAGTCCATTATAGAACAAAAGCGATGTTATCAATGCCATGCATAACATAAATTGTGAAGATGAAGATGGCAGAGGCATTACTGCATGTCCCCATCCAGGCTGATGGTCATAGAGGTGCAACCTAGAGCTGCCAGCCTTGAGCATTTCACCAAGGGCATGATACATTTGATTAATAACCACAGAACAGCTGTGGTCAGCCATTTCATGCTTGCGGCACTGTTGAGGAGGTGACTGAAGCATCTCTGTATCTGTCCTGAGTGCTGTGATGATAGTAGTGGAGCACATGTGGATCTGTATTGAGTATTTACTGTGTGGGTTCTGGGCCCCGTTATCAGGAAAACAAGACTAGACCCGCTGCCTCTCCAGCACAAATGTCATAGGAGTTGGACTAATTGAAGCATTCATCAAAGTTGGAATGCATCTGCTTTAGAGGCAAGGAACCAAGAGTCTGCATACAAATAAGCCAGATCTGGCAAATGGATGTGCACACAACATTCTGGGTCTGGAACAAGACTAAAGTCCGGAGGTGGATGAACGCTAAGAGCTTTCCACCAGGGTTTACAGCCGGTAAATGTGAGAAACATTAAGAAGTATTGAGGTCTGTAATGATAGTCCTTACTAATCACTAAATATAAAATGTTTATATTTTGTTTTTGCTATCGCGCACAGGATTGTGTGGTACATAGAGCTGTCTACCCTGACAACCGTATCCCTGGCCTGTATGATTGCAGGAATCTTCGACTTTATTGTGCCTTTCATGGGTGCTACTGTCACTGGATACAAAACATGGTAATTTTTTAGATTGTTCTTTATTAACTGCCCATATAGTTATGATTCATAGTGGTAAGATACAGAACCTAAATTTAGCAGTAGAGTGCAAAAGTATTAAACAGGCATCTGAATTTACATATCAGAAAACCATATTGACTGATGGGAAATTGGGTAAAGAAATTAACATCAGATGCATAAGGCAAACCAGTTATTAGGACAGTTAGCCCCCCCCCCCCCCCCCCCCCCCCCCCCCACCCCCCCCCCCCCCCCCCCCCCCCCCCCCCCCCCCCCCCCCCCCCCCCCCCCCCCCACCCCCCCCCCCCCCCCCCCCCAATCTTATAGCATAACATAATTTCAGAACATCTCATGCAAAACATATTCATTCCCACTGTGCTACCAGTGCCAGATTTGGTCACTCGCAACAAACCATAACAGAAAATGAGAACCATGGAAATGAGATGTCTGAGAAGAGCTGCAGGAGTTACCAGAAGAAATAAAGTCAGAAGAGAGAAAGTCAGCACAGCACCAGTTCTTGTAATGGCTAACACAGAAAAAGATGACAGTGAACTTTTACCAAAACTATATTCTTTACAGTGAATTTTAAGATGTCACTCATGAATTTGTTTATAGAAAGTTCCCCACGTGTGTTTCGAGGCCTATTTTTCTTGGGATTTCCTAGAGGATGAGGTTTTTACTCACATGGCTTGATATGTAGAATGAAGAGAGTTAATATACTCCACACAGTCATGCACAGTAGTTGTTTTCTACTCAGACACATTCCAAATAATAAAAGAGTAACTCAGTCTGGATTACCACTGTATCATGGACTTCAGGTTACTGTGTAACCTTTGAGGGACCAAGTATAACTGCTACTAGGTTGAATGGGATTTGTGCCTGTTTGATTCTCATCCTTGAGGTGTTAATCTTGTAGACTGCAGTCCTGGGGAGTACACACTACCTGCCTACAGCATCACCACAAAACACCACCTTGCATTCTTATTATGTTAATGACTTTAATCTGCCTCTATGATGTATCATCCTTATCTGGCATCGGGACACTGTCCCTAGAGAGTATACAGATAGATCCACAGCAAGCTACAAGTCACACACTGATGTTGATGAGTAATGTTTAAGACTGTGTTATTAGGGGAAGTCACTGTGGTTTAGTGGCTAGACGCTCGCCTGCAGATTTGTAGGTCATAGGTTTGAATCTGAATAGAGCCATTACTTTTTCCCCTCCAAAAATGACCTTGGCTCCCAGGTCGACATTGCCCTAAATGGGTGCTGATTGATCTATAATAGTCTAGCACTGAATGCCTAATTCACCTGAAGGAGGGGAAAAGGGTCCTTTACTTTTACTTCACCATACAGTCATTGAGCTTAAAGGAGGGGAAAAGGGTCCTTTACTTTTACTTCACCATACAGTGAATACTTCTGAAGGCGAGGAGAAGGGTCCTTTACTTTTACTTCACCATACAGTCAATACGTCTGAAGGCGAGGAGAAGGGTCCTTTACTTTTATTTCACCGTACAGTCAATACTTTTGAAGGCAAGGAAAAGGGTCCTTTACTTTTACTTCACCATACAGTCAATGGCAGCGTCCGTGGCTTAGGTATTGCGAGTCCGACTCGTAATCCAACGTATCGCGATCGAAATCCACTGCTGGCTGCGTGGATTTTTATCATGGTATAGGGCGTTGCATGTCGACCCAGCCTAAAATGGGTACCAGGATGGGCTGTCCTGGGAAAGTAAAGACGGCTGGCGTAATACTGACCACATTACCCACCGAGTGCTGATGGTCTGTAAAAATATGGGCGCTCTTCCCATATACCCGATACGCCTGAAGGCGTAAAAAGGGATCTTTCCTTTTTTTAAAATACAGTCAATGAGCTTAAAGGAGTGGAAAGGGTCCTTTACTTTTACTTTACCATACAGTCAGTACGCCTGAAGGCGGGGAGAAGGTTCCTTTATTTCACTTTAATGTAATAATAGGACACATCCTATGCTCGCACCTGCCTTCACCATTGTGCGTTACCTTGCAGGACAGAAGTTGAAGAATCTGAATTCATCAGTATCTGTGAAAAGATTGCTTCTGCTCGTCAAAATATCCTGGAAGCCTGGCACAGTCTGACAGAAATGAGGCAACAGAATTCAAAAACAGTAAGGTTGCATGTACACTGTGCACATGTAATCTGTGTTTAAGGTTGGGTATTGGTAATTCCACGTTGTGATATCTCAGTTGAAGGTGAAAGACCTAACCAAGTCAATAAATTCAAATATCTGGGCACAATCATATCATCAGATAGAAAATGTGGGACAGAGATTAAAAGCAGAATAGGTCAAGCAAAAGCTGCATTTCAGAAAATGAAAAATATCTTATGCAATAAATCGCTCTCGTTTAATGTCAGAAAGAGAGTGCTAAAATGTTACATAGAACCTGTTCTGCTGTATGGCAGCGAATCTTGGAATGTCAAGGTACAAATTAAGAAGAATTTGGAAGCAACAGAGATGTGGTTTCTGAGATGAATGTTAGGAATACCTTGGACGGCCGGAGTAACTAACGATGATTGCTTGAAAGAGGCTAATAAAAGTAGATCTCTATATACAACAATAAGAAAGAGAGAAACACTGTTCTTTGGCCACATAATGAGAAGAGAGACATTGGAGAGCATTGTGACAACTGGAAAGATCAGTGGAAAAAGGGGTAGAGGCAGACCAAGAGAGATGATGCTGGATGGGCTAAAATGATGGCATGGAGGGATATCAAGAGAGCTGTTCCAGTCAACCAGGGATCATGATCTGTGGAGACGCATGAGTGCCTACGCCTGTTGGCAGGGCAAATGATGATGAATGGTGAAAACACCTTCGTGTGTAACTTGGGTTCTTGGGAGTCAGTAAAAGTTGAACTGAGACTGAAGATGTGGGTACACACAAGAATAGGTTGTAATGCATGGAAACAAAAACATTCAAATAAAGAGGTTCTAGAGTTTTTTTTTTGTATTCTACATTTATTTCTCTTTAATTTCAAGTATTGAATATCACTATAGGGCCAGTACTGTTTATTCAGGAAATGTTTTAGCTTTGCCATGTTGCTGTAAATAAATTCAGCTTAAAATTAATTTTGTCCAGACCCTAGAAAAAGTGCCACCCTGAAAGAATTAAAAAGTCCCAGAATATGTACAAGTGTGAAAGAAAGTTTTGGAGAAGCATTGCAGGCGACCTTTGTTGTGGAGATGGCATCTTATTGATTAGAGGAAACAATGCTGTATGTGTAGCCTGTATGATATAAAAGTGACTCAAAGAGAGTTGGTTTTATGATTGACTGCAATACCTTGATGAAAACAAACATTCTGCAATTAGTCAATCAACTGTGAACAGAGCTAACAAGAGCATAGAGCATATCTGGGTGTTTCTGTTAATAATAAGGTTGGGTCTTAGATTAATTTTCTGTTCAGAACGACCTAGGGCTTTTTACCCGTTAAGATGTACTGTTTTTGTGTACACAAATCTATGTTTACATTATCATTAATTTAAAGAATTATTATAAGTAAAATTATTAACCAGCATTTCTCCAGTGACATGTTTACATCAGTTTACGAGATGCACAGTTAATGCCGTTGGTTTTTTTTAGTGCCTGTGCAGGATTCAGGAGGTCAGATTTGGAATATATTCAAAGTTGGTTGGGGGAATTGTCTTTATGGTTTACCTTTTTTTTTAAAGCCAAGTTGACATCAGATTTTGCCATTAGCCTTTGGAATTTGGGCATATCTAGGCATGAGTCTCCTGATATATATATATATTGAATGCCTCACTCTGTTACTGTTTGTTGATTACACCCTTTATATATTTTAATATATTTCTTAGTGGGGGGCTACATGGTATCAAGGCATGGTGTCCGCCTCGAGTGCTAGAGGTTCCCAGTAAGGGCTGGGATTTTTTCACATAGACTTGGACTTCTTGTAATTTCTCCTGATCTCTGGGTATTAAGATCGGACGCCCGTGTGCCTTGCTGCGCACGTAAAAAAATCACTTGGCTGTTGGAAATCAAAAAAAGTAGCCTAACAGTGCTACCCGGACAAAATTTAGAGCTAAAAAGCTACCCAAAGTATTTAAGGACCCTCGCCGGTGCTACAGAGCCTGTGCACTGGGCTGAGCTTCTTCGGACTCAGACTTGAGTTAGAAGAAGAACAAAGCACTTATGGGTTACTTCCCATGTGCCATGATGTTGATTTGTTGTTCAAACCTCAAATAAATATTTAAACAACAAAAATATTAAAAAAATTGTTTGTATTAAAATGTGAAAAAAAAATACTTAAAAAAAATTGTAAATAACAAAATGTAAAAAAAAAAACCCCCCAAAACAATCTATTATTCACCCCTGTAAAAAGATGTTTTTTTAAAAAGGTTTTGTCCCAAATCGCCACAGGTTCATGACCATTGTTTTAGCATTATCCAGGAAAATCACAGCTCTTGGGACAGTCCCCATCTATAGCAGCCACATCAGGAAGAGTTCAAATTCTGATAGTAAATTCGCATTTTGATCATCTTTCTGTCTTGCCTTTCCTCTGAATGTTAAATGTTGGCCAGTTCTCCTTGCTGTACCATTGTCTCCAGATCGTAATGATCTGTTTGTACTTTCACTTTGTTCATTTGGTCCCAAAGGGCCTTGACCACATCTGTCTAACTTGTCATTTAAGTTCTCTACTCAGTGGTTCAGTACCAGCCAGTTCTTTTCTCACACCTGGAAATAAAAAGATAACAAAAAGCCTAACGAATAATACTAAGGATGGGACAATGTTGTGATTTGATAAATCATTTTTTCTCACGGATTGTTGTGTCAGTACCTAACTTTAGATCTCATGCAGTCCCCTTGTTGGCCTCCAGTTTAGGTGGGGGAAGAATAGATCCATTGTTTCTTAAAAGCATGTTGTAAAAGGTGACTTATTGATATGATTGATAATTTGCTCAAATGGGATGTGTTGGGCTTAAAGGCACTGATTTCACAGCCTAGCTGTATACCACAACACAGTTTTCCAGACACCCTTTTGATGTTGAATGCAGAATAAGATCATTCTCAAATAGCAGTAAAAATAAGAGGTCTATCAGGTGCACTGAAAATAAATTAGTATTAGAAATCAAAACTTGCACAGTTTGTGGCAACTGCACTAGCCATGCGACCTTAAATCCCCAGGCTCATGATACCCCTGTACTGCACCCCCCCTCCCCCAGAAGTGGTAAATACAGATAGTAAAAATGATTACATTCGTAATGTTTTTCTAGCCATGTTTTATTTTTATTCCTATGTGCAGTTTTTCTTCGTTGTAATGGGAGTTCTGACACTGACTGCCTGGGTTGGAAATCTCATCGACAACCTGTTCCTCACCTACATTATTGGTGAGTCATAAAAGGACCTTTCCCATATAGTGCTATACCTATATTTTATAGAGCAGTTGGCACCGGGGTGATATGGTCAGCATCTGCCCGACTACCTTTACTTCCCAGGACTTAACCTGCTACCCATTTGAGGCTGGGAACAAAGTTCATTAAAAAAGAAATAAATCAGACTTGATGAGGATTTGAACCTACAATCGTTGGGTTTAAATCGAGCATCTAGCTGCTATACCACAACGGCTCTCCAAGTATAAAATATGCATTATCAGTGTGTGCCAATAATAATTGTCCAGGCTAGGTAAGTCCATAGTTAGATACTCAGATCTGCTTCTCCAAATTGTCTCCTGTGTGGGTTCCAGGCTCCATTTGGGAAAACAGTAAATAGCACACCCCCCCCCCCCCAAACAAGCACTTTTTAGGAGGCGACTAATTAGTGGTTTTTCTTGAGAGTCAGAGTGCATCTGCCTGAGAGGCAAAGAACCAACAGTCTGCATACAGATAAGTCAGAGCTGTAAAATGAATGTGCATGCAATCTCAAGTTCTCGAACAAGATCAAAGTCAAGAGTGGACAAACAACCAGAGTTAACAGCAAATCAACGTTAAGAAGAAGAACTGTCTAGTAATGTGTTGTATTTGATTGATTTTCGTATATTCTGCAAGAGTCACGTATCTTTCCTGGTATCTGTAAGAAATGTCCTATTTCCACACTTTGAAGCAAATTTAGCCCCTGCTGTCAGCCTTAATTGTTATAGTCAAATTTACACTTGATAGTTAACATGGTCAGTATCCCTGTGGCTGCCTGTACTTAATAGGAAATTTTCTAGTACACATTTTGGGATGGGAGCTTTTGACAGTGTTAGCAGTTTGCTTCATTGGTGATCCAAACCTAAGACCATTGGGCTGGCAGGCAGATAGGATAAATACTGCACTACTATGGCTCCCATAACTTTGTATTCTGTACATAAAATGAGCAGAAAAAATAAAGAAAAACAAAATAAAAATTGAAACAACAGAAATGAAATGTCTAAGACGAATCCTAAATGTAGCTAGAAGAGGCAGGATAAGAAATGACCATGTCAGGAAAGAAGGATACAGGATAAGAAATGACCATGTCAGGAAAGAAGGATACAGGATAAGAAATGACCATGTCAGGAAAGAAGGATACAGGATAAGAAATGACCATGTCAGGAAAGAAGCTGGGATGGAACTTGTACTAAATAAACTACATCAAGACACAGCAGATCAGATGGTTTGGACATGCGTCAAGACTAACACCAGATAGCACACCACGGAGAGCCCTGTCACTTGGACATAATGGAAGCAGAGCAAGAGGTCGACCATGCAAGTGATGGAAGTATAGAATATCTGAGACTGTGAATAGCAGCATCTACGTAGAACATACCAAGGCACACACCCCATGCCTCTTCAAAACCTGACTCTGAAAGGCAGAACAGGACCAGGGAAGAAGAAGAAGAAGAATAAGCAAAGTTGTATGTGACATTTACATTTAAAACTCTTTAACATATTTACATATACTGACCTTGAAAAAATACATTTCTCCACAGTAAACGGCATTCTTCTGACCCCAGGCCTTCTTCACCATAAGTTGACAGATAAGTACTTGCAGCCGGTCATGAAAATTCTCCACAGGGTCAAAACTGGTGCACCAGAAAAGTCAAAGGTCAACTAGATAACCCTTGACTGCAAGCAGTTCCTCTTCTTCAACACTCCATAGGGTATAGTTTTGTTACATTTTCATGTTCGCAGTTGTTCTTTAATTTTAAGTCAGCGTGAAGCCAGGAATTTTGCTTCATTTTTTCGCTATTTAAATTCTGCAGAAATGTTTCCTGCACACAACAGTTGTGCGTGTCCCTGCACACAACAGTTGTGTGCGTCATTTTGGTAAACTAACACACATTTTAAGTCTGTGATTTTGGGGATGCTCAATTTAAGTGCCTTGTTCACAGTTGGGATCAGATGTATGGAAATTCATTAGTAGACTGAAATGCCAGATCTGATAATGAACAATGCCAGCTGCAAAAACTGAAATGCTATCTTGTAAATTTGAAATACCATCTTGGGGACCTGAATTCTGGCCGTTAGATATGAAATGTTGGGGCTCGATAGCCTAAAGATTTTTTCACTTCAAGTATAATATAAGTGTTTCTTGTAAGAATGTGTTAATAACAATATTGTCATACATGTGTGCCATATAGGCTAACATTTAATCAGGTTGCTTGTTCCTACTAGTGCTGTTGAATTAATCAGGATGACTCATTATACAATATGTAGTAATAGGCTTTCATATTTCTTTTCAGATAGCCAGTTGCCACAAATACTTGAATATGAGTTTGTGTTATCTGTTTGCCTAACTGGAAAGTTTAATGCATTTAAATTAAGCCATATATTACTGTCAAGTTGAGAATTTAGTGCATTTAAATGAAGCCAAAACTGATAACAGAACTTTTGAATGGGTTTAACTATTGCGTGTCAAGTTTGGTTACCTGTCCTTGTTATCAGATGTGGTAATATTTTTGCAGAAGTGGCCATTATTCATGTTGAGAAAAAATGTTGGCTAAAAATAATCGGTCTTTACATTATTTATTTAGTGTTAATTGACTGAATTTGCAAAATGTGATTTTTAGAAAATACCATATTGGGAGATTACCAAGCGGGTTTCTGACTGAACAGATGAACAGTAGATCAGATTTTCATTTTACTGCAAATAGCAGAGCAAAATTGGGAATATAGAAGAGATGTACATAATGTTTTTGTGGATTTTAAAAAGGCATATGATAGTGTATATAGAAACAGTTTATGGAATGTTATGAAGGACTTTAGAATACCAAAGAAGTTAATCAATATGACCAAACTATGTATGGAAGACACTTATAATATAGTAACATATAAAGGCAGAAAGTCAGACCCTTTTCAAATAACATCTGGTTTAAAGCAAGGTGATGCTCTGTCCCCACTTCTTTTCAACTTGGATCTGGAGAAAACTATAAGGAAATTGAAACAAGAGTGAACTATAGGAGAAACTACGAGAATACTTGGTTATGCAGATGACATTGATATCTTTGGAGAAAATGAACTAGAGACTGTAAAAACACTGACTCCCTTAAAAGAAGTAGCTCACAAAATGGGACTAGTTATCAATCAAGATAAGACAGAATACATGATAATAACAAGACAGGGAAAGGATATAAACTCTGGCCACATACATAAAAGTTGATAAAATGAAAATCAAATGAACGGAAACAAATAAGTACTTGGGTGCAAATTTCAACTGCTCCAGTATGCTGAGAGAAGAAATACAACTTGGGTTACAATCTGGAAATAAAGTGTACTATGCCCTTCAACATCTGCCTAAGTCAAAATTCCTGTCTTGCAACATCAAGATCAAAATATATAAAACGTTTAAAAGACCCATTTGTCTTATATAGCTGTGAAACTCGAAGCACAACTAAAAGAGATGAAGCTTTATTAAAAAATTTTCTAAAACAGTGTTATGATGAGTCTATGGACATATCAAAGATGCAACCAGCGGGGAATGGAGATTGAGAAGCAACAACAAAGCTCATAATCTGTTTAAATAACCATTGATCACTGTCATCATGAGAGCTAATAGACTGAAATGGCTGAGGCATATTGAGAGAATGTCAGATAACAGAGGTGAAAATTATATACACAAGTGAGCTGAATGGTCGTAGACCACGAGGCAGACCAAGAAGACCATGGAGAGATAATATCCAAACAGACCTACAAACATTGGTTATCACCAATTGGAGGGAGAAGGCCAACCAGACAGATGAGTGGAGGTGAGTGATAATCTGCAGCAATGAACCTCAAGGGCTTGAAATGCTGAAGAAGAAGAAGAACTACACCATATACTGAAATACTCTGTTTTATAATTTTTGTTAGTTAGACTACTTTGGATACTTGGAAAACTGTTTTTTAAAAATATAATGAAAAAAGTCGACTAAGAATTGGTCAAGAATATATACTGAGAATACAACCTGTTATAACTTGCAAATTTATTGTAAATTATATGTATTTTTCAGAAATTAACTAATTAACTAATGGTAAACACACACACGCACACACCTAGCTATGTTTTAAGCTACGAGCTTAGAATTTGAGACCTCTAGTAAGACGGACCTTTGCAGTGGTACACCGAGTATATTTTGGCGTAGACTAGTAATACTTTCACTCGCCAGACGTTTAAACTGAGGGTTGTCATTTAGTAGTATATTCAGCTTGAAGACTTTACTCATGTTCCAAATGTGTTTTGATAAATGTTTTCACCCATGCATTGGGGGTGGGCTGATGAGAGGCAGGGGATTTCTGGGCACTGAACCTCTGGGGCGCCACAACTCTGAGATCCCCTGCCAGCTTGGTTTATGCTCACATGAGTTATTTTCCATGGCGCATGACAGGGCTGTGTCGGAGATGTCTTGTATGAGGCTCCGTAAAACCAGCACAGAACCTCCTGGCGCCCGAGGTGAGGTGCCGAGTATCTCCTTATGCACATCACAACAGCCTCTTACCTGTGACCGAAATCACTGGGCCACTTGGCAGTGAGTTTAAAAAAATGGCTACCAGGAAATTCACAGGAAGTAAAGGTGGCAGAATGATGTTGATTACATCCCCTGTCAAGTGCTGATTGGTCTACAGAAATGCTGGTCTAACACCATATGTTGGCGCAAATTATGGGATTTAATTTATCATTTACAGTGGTTATCTATGAATGTTTATAGTCTCTTGTGGGATAAATTCCATTTTATTGCTAGTCATAAAATGTTTCACATTTGTGGGGAAATGCACTTTGCGGACAAATTAGGTATACTTCATGTATCACTAACATTTCAATCGACCAGGATTCGTATATTATTATTTGTTTTGCTTGTTTTTAAAAGTTTTAAATGATCTGAATTCATCTTGTAAAGACACCAGATTTTTAAAACAAGGTATGGCTGTACAAGTTTGCCTATCACTATTGTTTTCAACAAGTAGTGCAAAGGTGATTAAAAAATTTTTTTTTTTAACGGGAGTGTTATTTTTTAAAATTGTACCCAAGTAACAGATAAAGAAATATTTTTTGTGATCATACCTGTGTAAATTATCTTCTTCTGCATTCACTCTTAAAAGGATGGCTGTGTTGTGGTTTACAGCTGGGCTGTAACATCTGCACTTTTTTGGCCCAACAAATCTTGACTTCAGCAAAACTTCAAATTAGTTGATTTTTACGACATGCTTGTTGAGAAGCAGTAGTGCTACTCTCGCTCCAGAACTCACACAGGGACTTCCAAGATTGAATCTGTTTATATAAGAATTGTTTAAGACACAGAAAAGTAATGAAGATGAAGAATGCCTGTATCAGGTTGATTCATTATAAGAGATTGTAGATGACTGAGATGATAAATAGAAGATTATACAGTTGAGCCAGAGCCTCTGTGGTGTAGCGGCTAGATGCACACCTGCATATCTAATCGTCCTAGGCTCACATCAGCATGGTGTCAGATTTTTTTTTAACGTGACCTTGACTCCCAGGTCGACCCAGCCCTTAATGGGTACCATTCAAAGTCCTAGAAAGTAAAGGCGGCCGGCATGATGTTGACCACATGACCTGTCGAGGACTGATTGGTCTATAAGTATATGAGTCTAGCCTGATGTGCTGAATACACCAGTGTTAAATGTTGAATTAGGAATCGACATCACAGCACTCAGGACACTCCCATAAGTGCTCAGTCCCTATCTTCAGCAGCTAGCGAGGAGTTTCAATTCCGATAGTGCCAGTAACCATCTGATTGTATACAGATTGAATACAACACTGGTGTATAAAGGGACCTTTACAGTTGAGCTTCTTCCATTAAAACTTGCAAGAAATGGTACTTGATGTCAATGGTTTCTGAGTTTATGATGATGTAAGATACGACTGTCCCATGGAATCCTTTATTTGTTAAAGGAAATTCTGATAACACAAAGGCTAGCATACTTTCTGACAACCCATCAGTCATAGGGCTCAAATCCTCATCATGTTTCAAAAATTGACCGGGCTTCCTGCTTAACCTAGCTGAAGTGGATGCAAGAAAATGTCCCCGAAGTCTTCTTCTTCTTCTTTGCATTCATCAGCTGTAAACTCTGGCGGAAAGTTTTGGTTGTTCATACACTTCTGGACTGCAGTCCTGTTCCAGAACCTGAGTGTTGCGTGTGCATCCGTTTTACAGATCTGACTCATTTGTATGCAGACTGCTCGTTCCTTGTCTCTCAGGCAGATGCACCCCGACTTTGAAGGAAGCTCTCAGTTAGTCGACTCTTACGACATGCTTTTGGGTAGGCAGTGGGTCTATTCTTGTTTTCCTTACAATAGGGCCCCAGAACCCATACGGTGAAGTATAAGTGACGCATGATACTGACCAAATTGCCATGTAGAGTGTTGATTGGTTGATAACAGTAGACTAGCGCTTTATCCCTAGTACACCTCAAGGCATAGAAATGAGTTTTTATGTACTTGTACTAGAGTGAAATTTGAGAGTTTTCTTTGCTAGATTAACATTGAACAATTAATTCTCTTTAGGTAGTTATGCAATTGGTTGCCATAACTGCTCATATTTTTGTTTCTTTAAAAAAAACAATTGCACCCTCATCTCTTATATACAAATTTCTGAAGTTTACTTTAAAAACAAA